ATCGAGATCTTCGGTTCACTTCCCGATTCTGGCAGAAGTTCCACAAGGAACTCGGTACGAGGCTACATTTTAGTACTGGTTATCATCCGCAAACTGATAGTCAGAGCGTGTGGACCATCAAGACACTTGAGGATATGTTACGGACTTGTGTCATAGATGTTGGTGGGATTTGGGATTCCTACATACCTTTTGCGGAGTTTTCCTATAATAACAAATATCATTCCAGCTTTGGTGTCCCGCCTTTTGAGCTCCTATATGATCGGAGATGTCGTACCCCAGTTTGTTAAGGGGGGGGGGGGGAAGTTGGTTACAGAGTCATAAGAAAGACCAAAGTAGTCCTCCATACCATGGAGCTTATCTAGCAGATCAAACAGAGATTGCAGACCGCTCAGAGTTGATAGAAGCGTTATACCGACTGGTGCTGGTCACAGTTGGAGTTTCAGGTCGGCGATATGGTAATACTGAAGGTATCACCCTGGAATAGTGTGATACGCTTTATGAAGAGGAAGAAATTGGGTCTTGGGTATATTATATCATTCCGTGTGATCTCCAGGGTAGACATGGTGGCCTACCGGATGGATTTGTCGAGTTAGCTCAGTCAGATCCACAACACTTTCCATTTTTCATAGTTGCAGAAGTGTGTTTTAGACAATAAGGCAGTGGTTCCTTTGGATGATATTCAGGTGGATGAACAACTGGACTATATTGAGAGGCTAGTAGTGCTAGTGGAGAGAAAGATGAAGGTCCTACAAAAAAATGAGATACCTTTGGTAAAGGTTCAGTGGCAACATTGGAGAGGCTTCGAGTGGACATGGGAGCTAGAGCCGGAGATGCGAGAGCATTATCTAGATTTATTCGCAATAGCTGACTTTGAGGACGAAGTCTAGTTCATGTGGGGGAGAATTGTAACATCCCGATGTTGAGGTATTTTTAATTTTAACTCCATGTATGAAAGAATATTGCATTTTGACCCTTAGGTTGGACAAAGTTTGCAAGAATGGACCATAGTGGCATTCTGGAGATTTTAGCCAAAGGCCTAGTATATTGGGCGTACGTTATGTACGCGGAGCGTACTAGGGATAGACTTAGTACACTAAGCTTACACCGCCTACGAAGGGCGCACATAAAGAAACCTCAATCCTTAATTTTTAGGGATTGGTCCATATATAAGCATCATTGTCCCCTTATTTCTCATTCCCTTATCAGCTTCCATATAAGAAAATGTCCCTCTAGCAAACCCTAAGTGAGAAGATTGCATTTTGAGCTCATTTGTGTGCTTTGGTGGTGTTCTTGAAGAAGAAGAACTTGGTACAAGGACTTTGGAGCTTAGAAGTAACTTGGATCAAAGATTTTTTCCTTGCTAGCAACCTCGAGGAGGTAAAAAGTTCATAACTTTATCATCTTATCTTGTAGATCTATCTATTTGTTCATTTAGAGCATTTTTGGTCCCAAAAATGGCGATTCTTGAGCATGGCATGCTCTTAATCGAATAAGTAGTCCTTTCAGACCTAATGAGGTGTCTTGAGTCATAAAAATGTGGTCTTGATGCTTAGTTTTTTCCCATGCATGCTCTACAACGCCTTAAGGTGTTAAGAAGTTGGGATTTTGTGTATTAATCACTTAATAGGCATGCAAATTCATAAAGTTGGAAACCTTAGGATTCTTAATGAAATTTTGGCATTGGATCTGAACTTTGGACGTGAGCGCTTAATGCATTGAGCACTTATTGAGGAAAGGAAATTATGTGTATACGTCGTGCGTACCCTAGCATACGCCTCGTGTATGTGGTCAACCTCTCGACTGCGGTCAAAGCCCGAGTACTCCCTACATACCTCCAAAGTACGCCCTGCGTACCTCCAGAGTACGCCCCGCGATGAGCCCTGAGTTGACTCGACTGGGTTGACTCGGTTGACTTGTTGATTTTGACCAATGTTATTTTGGGAAAATGTTATTAATTTGGAATAGGAAATGTTTTGATATTTAGGATTTGGGTTGAGCCGATTTTCGGAGCTGGGAGTTATTCAGACAAAATTCAGACTGTAATGTGAGTCTTCCTCACTGTACCCGTGGGTCGAATGCACCAAGGTCAGCCCACTAGATTATTTATCCTGGTCAGGATAGTGATATGATAGATATAGCTGTTCAGTAGATCCGCATGATTATCTGTATTTACTAGCTCTGTGTTTATGTTTGTTTATTGCATATGTCAACATGTTGGGTTGGGTTAAGGTGGTCCTACTTTGTGTTGTAGGCCAAGACACACGTGAACGACCAAATAGGCTGTAGGCCTGACAAGGCTCTCCATTTAGGCCAGCTGCTCGTGGAGTAGTTCGGATATATTGTAGGCCTGCGAGGCAATCCAGTCATACCGAAGGCTCGTGGAGCGGTCTAGATAGGCTGTTAGCCCTACAAGGCAGTCCAGTCAGACTGGCTGCTCATACTGTATGCTTGTTTGTTGTGGTGTATTGGTGCATTGGAGGAACTCACTAAGTTTTGACTTATAACTTTAGTTTATGTTTCCAGATATTTTCGAGGATCGTGGGAAGACGAAAGTCTGATCACACACAGTTTCCAGTTTTTATGTCTTCTGGTCTTGAAAAAACTTTGATTTGAAATAATGCTTTTGAAATAATTACTCTTTTTGTAAACAATATTGATTCATGATTGGTTTTAAAATTTTTAAATTTATTGTGATTTTTGGAGTGTTACAATTTTTTACATTTATTCATTTATATTTGTTTTTATGTATAAGTTTCTATTAAATATGTTAGTATTAGAAATTGATTTTTCTTTAGAGATTTGTTTTCTATTATTTTACCTATATTACATTTTTATAAGTTTTTTAACAAATTTTTGGTTTTTATGAAGTTAGTTTTTTTAGGAACTTGTTTACAAATATATATATATATATATATATATATATATATATATATATATATATATATATATATATATATATATCTTTACTACTTATAAAAGAAATCTAACTATTTCTATAAATAGATTGAATATAATAATATTATTTTTTAAGACGTCCAAACTATTAAGCTTGAAGTACAACCCATTTATAATATAATAATATTAAAACTTTAACCTTATCCTTTATTCCCTAAAAATATTGTATCAAATTAATAGAAAAATTAATTTGCAAATTGAACCCGTCAATCTCAACACTTCAGCCATTTGAAGCGGTCAATGTCAACAATTTATAGAGGATCTTTTTTCTTACATTGGTAACAAGTCATCTCATAATATTTATCTTCGTAATCCCTTCAAAGTAAGAAATATACGCACACTCTCTCGAAGAACCCTAACCAGTAACCAAGACAGTATAACCACCACCACCACAGCCGCTCTGCCTCTTTCCGCCTTCAACCAACCACTATCACGACTACCGTCATTCCTCTCACCCACGGCATGAACTTTCTTTTGGAACATAACATTTTTCTTTAAAAAAATATCGTTGAAAGAAACTATTTGTCCCCGCTGCTGTGCGCGGGTAACGGCTAGTATATATTTATATATATATATATATATATATATATATATATATATATATATATATATATATATATATATATATATATATATATATATATATATATATATGTGATTTCTCCATTTAAGAAATTAGTGTATTATAGTTTTTTTTTTTTAAATCTTTTTCTCATTTTCATTTACATTAAGATTGTAAAGATATACAAAAAAAATCATTTTTTAAAAATATCTCGTCATAACATTATTGTTAATTATTGTTTTTATTAGTAGATTAATTATGACTGTTATATAAAATTTGGTGGTGGTTGATACATAAAAAAATATATATATTATTATAAGGAGTTTATTTATATTTCACTTTATTTTAAGAGACCGGACACATTAAAAGATAAGCAGTTTTCTTATTACAGAAGGCAAACATGTGGTCTATCTTTTTTTCTGTGATCCACATATTTAAAAAAACAAACATCACCTATTATTTATAGAGGTTTGTTATAAGTTTTAAAGGTAATTAAACACTTCAAATAATGAAATCCTTTCGGAAGTTAAAAAATTATGCTAAATAAAATGTTCCGATAAGTTCATAAATCAACTTTGTGATTTTTAGTTAAACATTGAATGAAAAGGCAATCATAAATAACTAAAACAGATATTTTACATCCTTTATAAAAATATATAATTTTGAGTAACAAGTACATCTGATGTTTGATGACATCTACTTATTTGTTTTTTTAATTTATAATATATTATCTGTTTGTTATTAAAAACAAATAAAACAAGTATTAAGTAATTGAAAGGTTTTATATTAATTAATTTATGAGAGTAAATAAATTTAAAATTTAGGGAGAATTTCATATATACCCCTCTTAAACTTCAAAATATCATATTTACCCAACTTAATTTCTTAATATCATATTTACCCTTCATAAACCTTCAAAATATTATATTTGCCAAAATCCTTTTTTATAATATTTTTAATATTTTATAATCATTTTTTATACTTTAGAACTATTATAATAATTATGAAATTTAACCATATTACCCTGACATCTATGATAATGGAATGTGAACTTCTAAGTTGTTGGAATATCGACCTCTTAACAGACAAAAAGATTAATTTTCAACCCTTTCTATAAAATGTATATTTTGATAGTTTAGTTTTTGTTGTTGTTGATTGTTATTATGTTCTAAATGGAGGATATTTTAGATATTACCATTGATATTTTGATATTTAAAAAGTGCATATACGATATTTTGATATTTAAGAAGGACATATATGATATTTTGATGTTTAAAAAGGACATATATGATATTTTGAAATTTTATGAAGGGTAAATATGATATTTAGAAATTTTATGAAGGGTAAATATGATATTTAAAAATTAAATTGGGTAAATATTATATTTTGATGTTTAAGAAGGATATATATATGAAATTCTTCCTAAAATTTAAATTGATATAATTAAAAATATATATATTTATCTCATATCATATGAGATGGACGATCCATATAAACCCTGACCTATATTCATCCTTCCACATAACTCTCCACTCTCCACTTGGTTTTCCGTTGTAGCCACTTCCTATCCTTGGTGTTTTTCATAGCCAAATTAATGACAACAACTACAAGCAGGTTTGTCTCCTTATCGTGCGCTTTTATAGTTTCGTGCGTATACGTATTTTAACAGAAAAATCATTAATTTAGGCAACACAAAAGAATGAATAAAGGTATTTTGGAAGAAAAAAAAAACATCGTTTGCTTATTTTTATAACCTGTAAAATTCGTTTTGAAATTTTCATAAAACTTGATGAGATTCCAAAGAAAAATCAAGTATCGTCGTTGTATGAAAAGCTGGTCGTTTTTTCTTTATACATCACCATACCATCTGGATATTCAAAATTCTATTTTATTATGTTTGGATAATCTTGGGATTCAAACAAAGTTATTAGAAACGCTACAAGACACTTAACTAATTGCTCTTGAGTTAATCGGAATACTATTTTACTAATTATTCTTGAGTTTAATCGGAATACCATATTAGATCTAGAATATTGTACGAATTACAACCAATTTACTTGAAGAAAAATCAAGTAACATAATTATGGCTTTAATACAATTCTTGTAGGATAGCAGGGAAGGTAGCCTTGATAACAGGTGCTGCAAGCGGAATTGGGGAGTGTACTGCGAAACTCTTCGCTGAACATGGAGCGAAAGTAGTCATCGCAGACATTCAAGACCAACTTGGTCAATCGGTTTGTGAGAAAATTGGCACATCAAACTCGATATATGTCCATTGTGATGTAACCAACGAAGAAGATGTCAAAAACGCAGTAGATACTGCAGTTTCCACTTATGGAAAACTTGACATCATGTTTTGTAATGCTGGGATAGCAGATGATCCTAACAAACCAGGAATCATGAACACTGAAAAAACAGACTTCGAGCAAGTGATTAGTGTCAATATCACAGGCGTCTTTCTAGGCATGAAACATGCAGCTAGAGTAATGGTTCCAAGGAAAATGGGGTCAATAATATCAACGGCTAGTGTTGCTTCAAGACTCGGTGGTGTAACCCCACATGCTTACACTTGTACAAAGCATGCTATAGTGGGTTTGACAAAGAATTTGGCTGTAGAGCTTGGACAATTTGGCATTCGAGTCAATTGCCTTTCGCCTCATGCAATGGTCACACCACTAGCCACGAGTTTCTTTGGGTTTGAAGGAGAAGAGTTTGAGAAGTATGTGAATGAACGAGGAAACCTTAAGGGTGTGACGTTGAAAACAGATGATGTTGCTCAGGCAGCCCTGTTTCTAGCGAGTGATGAAGCTAAATATATTAGTGGACATAATCTGTTTATTGATGGTGGATTTAGCATCACTAATCCATCATTGAACATGATTAAATACCCTAGTTAGAATCTTTGAATTGGAAATGTCATATTATTAGTGTTATTAGTGTGTATGTAATAAGACAAAGGTACAATATGCAAGGTCTTTTACATTTGTACCATATATATATTGTATGAGTTTGTAATGTAAAATAAGTCGTTTTTATTACTTCTTAGTTCTTAAAAATAATGACCTGAATTTATAGGCTCTTCTAAGTTCTACCCGAGGTCTTTCCCTTCGTGTGTAACGTGTTTTCTAATCACTAACACAAAATAGATCTAGTTTTGTAGAAGTAAGAATGGACAAATCCTTTTGTTAGAGAAATGTAATAAAACTGAGATAGCAAATCTGGGATTGAAGTGCCTTCCGTGAATCTCTGTTTATGTCCTTTTTATTAGCAACTGGTTGACGCTTCTGTATCTTGAAGAAGATGAGAGGCGGTAGTGCAGGTTTTACCTTGAGGTGTGTTTTACAGCATATAGATATGTTTTGCAATTCAACTGGAACATCACGCAGCAAGAAATAGATAAATTTATGTTTGTGGACATTAATGCAGTTAAAATTAATCTTTTTGTCTTTTTCAAAATTCATCGCATCATTATCAATATTTGGTACCCAATTAACTGGAAATCTTCTTTGCTCTTACTCTGTATACCATGTTATCTACATATACCATCACATATGGGAAATTATAATTGAAGTGATAGCTAGATATGGTAATACATATTCTATCACAACTACGACAATCTTCTGGTCTTCATCAAAATAAAGGTAAACCTCATGTATTTGTGATTTTTTTTTAAGGGAGAATCACACAAATACCCAACGAACTTTTTAGGGTTTATCCGTTAAGTTCCTAAAATTTTTATCGGACTTTATGAGTCCTTAAACTAGGATATAACTTGCTCTTTTAGTCCCTGTCAATCTATAATAACCGGTTCAGTAAATTTTCAAATAAATAAATAAATAAATAAAATAAAATAAAATAAAAAACACACATTGTGCCCTTATAATACCAAAAAAAATTTGGGGATCACCACAAATTGAGTGTGAATCAGCTTTAGAAGAAAAGGAGAGTTTTTTTTATACGAATTGATCCCCGAACTTATTGTTTTGGTTTTATAGGGGCACAACGTGATGGGTTTTTTTTTATTATTATTATTTTTTTTTTATTTTTTAAAGGTCACTGAACTGGCTATTACATATTGACAGTGACTAAAAGAACAGATCATATCCTAGTATTGGGACCCATAAAGCTCGACAAACACTTTAGAGATTCAACGGGTAAACCTAGAAAGTTCATAAGACAATTATGTCATTTTTCCTTTTTTTAATGCATTCTTGGACCAAGTAGGAGTGGTAGACTGTTGATCTTAATCCAAACTAGTTTCTCCTTCCGCAAATAATTGAAGAAAGAGGTTGAAGTTCCTTATAATTTAGTGTTACACCGACATGTTATTGCTTAAATTTAATGGAATCCTTATTATTCTCAAAGTCGATCCAGATCAAACATCCCCCAATGCATTTAACTTCAAAGTCATATATAGAAATCTTTTGTTCTTTACCAACTTGTACAAATTTGAAATTTAATCGACATCTTATGCATCTCCTAAAATACAGTTTATTAAGGAATGTATATTGTACCACCATGAGATACGTATGATCAATATAAACACTTTCTAGACATCATTTGTAGTTATTCTACCACCATTCGACATCGGAATCCCTACTACATGCTACAACACTTGTGTAAGATTTTGATTATACATTCTGAGATGCATGATTGCATCCATCTTTTCCCCTCCACCCGTGTTCACCATAGAACCCTGGTCACCCTTTGTTTCTGATCCGGATATATACATATGATAATTTTGATACCCAATCCCAAGCTAATTAATTAACGCCTTAGTGAACAACTCCACATACACTACTTTTAAAAATATGACAAAAGCAAATTATTTCATATAAAAATATAAACAGTACAAGACGAATGTCCGCGCATTGCGCAAAAAGACCTATATAGTTGAAATATTCACAAATATATCTTTTTTTTAAATATAACAATAACATTGTTGTGAAATTTGATTTAATAATTTTTATACTCAATTGAAATAATATATTGACTATTTTGAATTATATGATCATATATATATATATATATATATATATATATATATATATATATATATATATATATATATATATATATTATAATTGTATAATGTTAATCATTTAAAACACATCTATCTGCGAGTTACTCATGAATAAAATTAAATATAATATATGGGTTAATGTATTTATAGTTGTTATTATTGTTAATTAATTTTTAAAAATTTATTTGTTTAAGATTTTAATTTCTATCATTATAATTATTTAAAACATCAAATATTTTTTTATTTATTTTTAAGGTAACAATATAATCATTTATATATAATTATTTTTAACTATTATTATTAGAAGTTATTTTAAGCTACTTATTTGAAAACTCTTAACGATTATAAAAGTAACTTTATGAAATATTTTAGTTAAATTAATCTTATAATTTTTTTTTTTTTTTTTTTTTTTTTTTTGCATTTAGCACTATAATTTATCACATTTAACAATTCACAAAATATTCATTGAGTTTTTTTAAGTTGAACTGAAATTTATATTTTATCCAAACTGTTCAAAAGTTGTAGCTTTAAACTGATAATAGTTGACATACAATAACATAAAATTTTCATAAATTAAGAATAATATGTTAAAAGTTAAAGTCATAACTTTATAAGTAAAAGTAAAAATATTATTTTAATATTGAAATTTTGTTTATTTATGGTTACACTTTATGTTTGATATTTATTTTGATGGGTTTTGAGCACTATATCAATCCTATGGTGTACATGCAAACCTTAAATCTTTTGGATCTAGTTTGTCTAATGAACATGCAATAATCCTCCAAAGCTCATAAACCCTAGATCTAGCATACAATAAACAATTTAACATATGAATTAGGGTTTAGATCTTACCTTACAATGTTTACAAGAGTCCTTTGATCTTCAAGAAGCTTAGTGTTACAAATGTAACACCTCTAATGGCTCACAAACACAAAGAGCAAGAGAATGACTTTGAAGAGAGGGAAATGAGGACCAAAAACGGCCAAGGGCTCTTCCAAAAGAGGTACGTAGCCAAGTTTTTGGGGCCATAGGGGTCTTTATATAATCAGGCTATCAGGGTTATCAAACAAGGAAACCCTAATTTGACTGTTTATACTCCAAGTAGCCCATGGACTCTCTTTAGAGCACTCATTGGACGAATTCTTTATGGGCTTCCCATAGAATTCGTCCAATCAATGTTCCAAGGTGATCCATAGCCTAACTGTAATTATCTTATAATTACAATTCTAATCCCCTAAGTTTAATTAATCTCTTTAACCACAAAACTAATTCTTAATTAATTATTGGCTAATATTAATTAAACAATATGATTTCTCCTTTAATATATTTTTCATATAATATATTAATAAATCATAATTAACCTCTCTCCTCATAAATCATCCTATCAAGTTACTTTGGTGAAGGCAATCCAAAAGGACCATGCACAACCGGATCAAATACTTACCAAATATAGTTACGGGCTTAGACGCTAATCCAACAATCTCCCACTTGGATAATTCTAGTAACTATAATGTAAGTACAATCTGATTAACAATTGTAACTCTCAAAGACGCTGTCGAACTCTGATCTTATCAGCAACTTATCCTTTAGATAAGGGATCATATATTCCTCCATTCTAGATATCGTATAGACATTAGACATGGATTATAATCATTCTCTCAGTCTATGTGTTGTTTCCCGATTTCCGATTTATGACGACTGACAATAGACTACAATTAAACACATCAATTCAGTCCCGGCTTGGCCAAGCGCTTAGGGTGTCATCACTAAATCATCGAGAGGCCCACATATATCGCTTTTATCCCACTTTGGGTAAAATAAATGGATAAACTTTGACTCGAATGCTCGCTTGTACCTACTCATAAAATCACACACAACAATATGTTTTATAACACCAAGTTATTGGTGCGTTTACATATTATCAATGTGCAACCGACTTGCAAAATACAACGCACACATCTCGGTTTCAAGAATATAAGATATTATCGTCTCACCAATCACTCATGATAAAATCCATGAAGCAATCTAAGTGAGCGTGGGTTTAATCCAATACTCTAATCTTATAGCAGCACTCATGAACTATGCAGCAAGCTTGTGCTATGTCTAAACGCTTTAGACAATCTACAGACGGATTCATGACAGTCTTCATTCATACCTACTTCCAAAGTATGAGCGACTGTGGAGGGTTTGAATAATCTTATTATTCGGGAAGTCAAAACATGCAAAGTGAAATACAAGAATAATACTAATTCTATATGGTCCCAAACTTTTGAGCATAAATAAAACACCTTCTATTTAATCATCATATTGATTACTCATTATTTGTTGTTTCGGGTAATCAACTTCTTACTTGAATTATAACAACAGTTTTCCCATGCACCAAGTATGCACACAATGTTTACCTATGGTCCTTACTTTGTGAAATAGATCAAATGAAAACATTTCCAATGATGCTCATTTCACAATTCCTAATCCTATTCATTAGTGGAAGAATTCAAATTCTCGCCAAAGTCACCAAGACTTTGCCAATAAAATTAAAAAGTGCTCTATTGGAGATTGTTACAAGACAATCCCATAGATGTGAAGTCTCACATTCAAAATAAATTCCTTGGAACATCCTTCTTGCATAAAATTTTCTAATCTAGACATAAATTCTTAACGTCCAACTCCCAATAAGGAAACATTTCCATATTTTCCATATGACAACTCATTATAAATAGAATCATATCTATTCATAATAATGTCAATATGGTCCATCCATGACTATACTTCCAACTGTCCACAAGCGACCAATCTTTGGCGAACCTTAGATTGTCCTTGACAGTTGTTTAACTATTTTAGTCAAATCCGATTCTAGTCCCTTTTTCCTTCTTAATGCCCTAGGAATTTGAAAAATTTTAGAACTGTCAAATATTACAGCATATGCAATCGATCCTATACTCGAAGCATATGGGACACGATTCATAATGTCTTACATAAAGGCATGATACTTTATCAGCCATTTTCCATAATATTTCTATTTGCCACGTTCTCACAATTTGAACTATG